CCATTCACTTTTCTTCGCGATTTTCATCTGTATATATGTATTGTAGTATGTATAAATGTATTATTTGAATTTGTTTGATTAAAATTGTGTTATTCTAAACACGTTATTTTTGCGATAAATATCATCATGCCTCTGTAGTCAAAAGAATAAGATGCCCGGTAAGCAAGAGATCCAAGTTCGATTCCTGGCTGACGTATTTTTTTGCAAAAATAATTACGGATTTTTACGACTGATTCGTGATCAGGCCTCGTCGTGGCACACGCTCTCTCTTCTTATCCTCTTTTTATAAAACTAAGATCACCAAATATAATTATTAAGATAATAAAATGAATTCCGTTGAATAACAATATATACGTTTTACATTAATGAAAAATAAATTTAATGGGAATACAAAGAATATGGAATATTAATGATAATATTTTTAATAGTTAATATTTAAATATCATTAAAAGTAATATTAATTATTTTTAACATGAGATATCTTGTAAATAAGAAGCGTATATATTGGCCAGGAGTGGATTATATTTGCAAATTTTCTTTTTATATTATTTACATATAATAAATATATATTGTAATAATTGTATACGATTATTAATGTGTGAAAACTGATAAAAAATAAATTCATATTGCGTGTCGCATCAATTCGAAATCTGAAATCATATTGATAGCGAGTATAGCGACTTGAAAAAGAAAAGGACAGACAGTTATCTCTGTCCTCCTCTACCGCTCGAAGCGCGAAGCAAACACGGACGAGAGTGTATTATTAGTGTGTATGTGCCAGCCTATCCTCTCCATGGCAACAGCGTGGCTACAATCGTGGATTTGCTAGCATGCGAGGTGTAACGACATGGGATGCTTTCCATTTAATAAAACAAGTCGACACAAATATCGTTCTATCTTTCTTGGCTTTCAATGATTAATAAGGACAAAATGATACTTGTGTCACTAAATGGAAAGCATCCATTATGCTTTGTGACCGCATATGCATGCTCTGTGGTCACATGCATATGCTCCGTGACCACATACTCATGCGAAAAGTCGAATTTGAAAACTAATAATAGATAGTAATATAAGGCCTGTTATTTTTGACTGAACTTGTACAGTTTAGCTTTCTTTCTTACACTGAAAGAAGAAGGATAAACTTTGGACTAGTGCAGCCAGTTCAACTAAAAAGAGCAGACTCATAGTCCGTTCTTATATTTAAGATTGTCTTAAGTAAGCTCATACAGTTATCCTATTGGTTGAAATGTTATCTTAAGACAATCTTAATTATAAGAATTGACAATGGTTGCGTTTCGAAATTCACTGTCAGTACTGAAAATATATAGTATACGTGACCTGAACTATGACTGCGTTCCGATATTCACTGTCAGTACTGAAAATATATAATTCAAGTCACGTATTATAGATTTTCAGTATTTGCAGTGAATATCGGAATGCAGCCTATATATTTTCAGTACTGGCAGTGAATATTGAAACGGAGCCTATGAATACCGGCCTGAGTGCGATCGCTCTCATTCTCTTTCTCTCTCTCTCTCACTTCTATCGACTTGATAAAAGTGAGACCGACAACACTCAGCGCGCAGTGGTGCGCCCAATCGAATTCGCTATAATATGTATATATATATATATATATATATATATATATCGCTTAAATATAAGAACTGACTATCTGTACTGATCATATGTGACCTAAACTATATATATTATGAACTATATTTATATTATTCAATACTGCCAGTAAATATCGACACCATAAGAGTGAACCTTATGTCATGGTTTCCTGCAACATAGAAAAAACGAGGGCACTCGAAAGTGGGGATTAACATAACCACTTAGAAAACGCTATGGCACTAGCATGATCTCCACTACGGAAGTTCCGATCGTTTCGGTAACTTTTAAATATTTTATGTAAGTAATAATTATTTAAATAGTTAATCAATCAATAATCAACGCAATAATTAACTAAGTAATTAATTAATTTAATAAATAAGAGATACAATAAACTGATCTAATTTATCTAATTACATATTTTTCTAATTAGATCTAATTTATTCTAATTATTATATTTTTTATATATTAATATTATTATTAATTTGTATTCAAATTTTCAAGCCTTTGTGGCAATATAATCTCAACGTAAATTTGCATTTTTTATTCTTTAATCGTCAAGACGAAAGAAATTATTAATTTTTTATTTAATTTTAATTTTTTTAAAATTTTAATTTAAAATTTAAAATTTAATTTTTTTAAACAGAGTTTAAAGAAAAAAAGCTGTATTAATGTAAATTTTATTTCAGATTTATTTCAGATTTCGCTGATCCAACAATACTAAATTATTGGACACAGAACGTATGTTTGCAAACACAAGCAAAAAGTAAACAAATTTATAAATTTGTATATTCTAATCGACGAATCTTGTGTTATAACTTTTTATATTTTATTTTTCCAGAACATGCACTATGGAACTTATATGGAACATTCAATGTAAGAGACTCAACTACATAATATTAAACAAGTGATATGCTACATATAATATAATATATGTAAAATAATTTCTGTGATATTCTTGTGATAAGCATACGAAGCATGGCATCTCTATTAGGTACGTGTAAATATCGGTGCAAATATCCAGAATGTACAAATGCATATTACACTGACATAGTAGATAATTCTTATCGAAACAAGCATTTCTATAAATTTCTTAAAAATATTGAATTTAAAAATAAATCGAGAAGAATTTGCAATGTTAATCAAGATGTGAAATCTTATTTTTGCATCTGCGAAAAACATTTCGAGCCTAAGCATTTTATGAATATATTAAAGCATAAATTGAATTGGAATGCAATTCTTCTTGAAAGTGCAAGTTGTATACCTCCAAATGTACAGTCTGAAATTCCTTTAACCAGTGAACATGAATCTACTCGATTCATGACTCCTTTGATGAATATAAATAAAAATACTGAATGCGAGGTCCCTCCGATGAGTGTTGATAACATAAATTACAATGAAACTACTCTTTCAACAATTTATACTGATACTTCTTGATACTTCTCAAGCATCATCTAATAGTTATCCAGCACTTATTTCTGACTTTGCTTCTTCTTCAGTTATACAAAATATAGATTTAACTTATCATAAAAATGATGTAGAAATGCTTGTTTCAGATAAAATGTACAATTTCAATAATGAAATGCATAAAACTGTGATTCCGAAGGGATATTTGAAAGACATCGGTTTACGCAAAAACAATTGTCGCCTAAAAAACTAAAAATGTATAAAATATATCGTTTCACAATTAGCAAAATATCTAAATTACAAAAACTTTTAAAAAATGAAAGACAGTATGTCGCAACTTTAAAGGATTTGTATGACAGAAAGAAATTTCAATTTATTGAAGATTCTTTAAACACAGTTACAAAACATTTCATAGAATCTCAAACTAGAAATGCGTTAATAGGAAGCCTGCTGGAAGATGGACAATTCAAGATAAAATTTTAGCATTTTCTATTTATAAACGCAGTCCTCGGCTATATAAATATTTAACAACTCATTTTCAATTGTCTTCTGACCAGATTGTTGAAACAAATACTTTCAAAGATCTCTTTTAAGACTGATTTAAATGAAACAATTTTAGACAATTTAAGAATAAGGATACAAAAAAGCACCCATTAAATCGTTATTGTGTATTGATGTTTGATGAGATGTCATTAAGTAGTGGATTTCACGAAACTAATAAACAAGATATTTCTGGAATTGAAGATTTAAGACACTTAGGTCGTACAATTAAAACAGCAAATCACGCACTAGTTCTAATGCTGAGGGACTCGTAAGTCTTGGAAACAGGTCATAGCCTATTACTTTACAGCAAGTATAATCTCTATCATAGTCTTGAAAGATATAATTGTTACAATAATATCAACGTTTACAAACAGAGAGATTTAATGTAATGGCAACGATTTGTAATCAAAGTGTCACGAATCGAGCAGCATTAGTTCAATTATATTGTGAGAATATTGAGAGAATATCCCACTAATATAACAATATAACACTAATTATTTTTTAGTAAATAAGAAGTAAATATTCATTATTTTTGATGTTCGTCATCTTTGAAAAAACACTAAAAATGCCATGCTTCGTAATCTAATTAACAAAATGTTAGCAGAATGTCGGCAAACTGGCAACAGATTTAATCAGAAAATGTTAGCAAACTGACTTCATCTGAGTCTCATTCTACTTACATTCTGTTGACAGAACCTGTTGACGTTCTGTATCAGCAGACTAGCAGCAGAAATTGAGCAGATCCTGCCATCAAATTGTATCGCGTCCTACTCGCTTTCTGCTGCCAATCTGACGGCAGACTACAGCAGGGTCTGCTCGATTTCTGCTGCCAATTTGCCGGCACAGAATCAACAGATTCTGTCAGGTTTCTGGCAGCAGTTTGCTAACATTGTCAGATATTACAGAATCTGTTAGCAATCTGTTGGCTTTCTAACAGCAGAAATTTATAACAGACTTTGCGCATAATCTGTCTTTTCAGGTTTGGCTATCGGGGTAAATTTTCTGAAAGAGGCTGATTTTGATTACATAAAAACTGCTTTTAATTTAGACCAAAAAAGAATGTTCAAGATATTATCAAAACTTAAAAGTGAACACTTCAAATTTGAAGATTCATATGTAAAAATGAAAGTTAAGATAGCTACTAGAATCTTAGCAGTTCTGTTGCTGCAGCAATCGAAAGTTTTGTTCGGCAGGAACTATGCCAGCTGCTTCTTTATACACTGCCAAATTTGTCCAAAAAAATTGATGATTTGTTCGATTCATTAAACAGTTCATGTTTGAAACCTCGGAATAAAAAATACGCGTGTGCTTTATTTGAAAATTCTCCACATTTCACCTTATAGAATTCAATGCTACTCGAAGAACTATCGCAACTATGATTTGACGTTTGATTGACAAACATAACAGTAAAGATGTCACACAGCAATATTCACTTATTAATGAATGGATTATCACAATCCAATCCATAAAAGAACTGTAGAAATTCTTATACGATTTGAGGTTTAACTTCCTCTCTTTGCGAGCATTAAACCAAGATTCTGTAGAAAATCTTTTTTGCATGATCAGGCAACATGGTATATCAAATGCAAACCCGACGTGCCATCAATTTATTGTAGCTTTAAAAACGTCTATATTAAATAATCTATATTAAATAATCTATATTAAATAATCTCATTTTATCGATAAATAATGGCAATTGCGAAGATGATAACTGTTTGCCATTAGACAATTTATGTACGTTATTGACAACAACTGATACTGATACTGATAATAATAATAATGATTGCTCTTTAGAAGAGAATGATATTTCATTAATGCTAAATGATATAATAATAAATAATGAGGATGAATTACTCATAGAAAATAGTCAGGCATTGGCATATGTTTGCAGGATATATATTAAAAAAAATAAACATTCCACAGAATTGTGAGACCTGTTAACGTAGCTTATTTTTAGAAATTACAGAAAAATAAGTATTTCTTTCTTTCAAAGAGCATGATAATATTACTCGATTAACGTATTCAAGTGAGAATGTGATACAATTTATAAAAACATGAATGTATGTATGAATTTTTGGAAATACAGACATACTTCTCTCTTAAAAGATCGTTTTAAAACTTATTTTGAAAACTCTGACATATTTATTCAGTTATGTTCATTGCATAATTG